ACATCTTTACAGTCAAGTGACATCGAAAATATAGTGAATTTGTTTAATAATGCAGCGAGAGTAACGCTGCCTATAAAACAATATAAGCATTACTTAAAACCGTATTAGAATTCTCGTCAAGTTAAATCACTGCATGCTAGGATGAGAACTCTCAGGTTGTTGTGGATAAGTGAAGGTCGACCCAGAGGTTTCGAGTTCGAATCTTATTCGAATTATAAGTCTGCTAAGAGATGTTTTCGCAATGAACTAAATATAGCTCGCGAAGACTATGAGCGTGAACAATTTGCGGAATTAGAGTCATTAGCAGAGATAGATATTGGTACGTTTTACCAGGCCGTACGACGGAAGAGGTCAATAGGGAAAAATTCACATTCATGTGAACTTTTAGTAAACGGGAAAATCACGCGTGATTCGGATATTCTGAGAGAAGCGTGGTACGATCACTTTAGTAGACTAGCATGTCCCCTAAGTCAACCACACTTTGATGATAGCTTTAAGATCTATATTGAGAATGCCGCACGTAACATGCATATAGAAAGTTATAACAACTCTGATGGTATATGTGATCATCCAGTATCTTTGCCAGAAGTGAAGCGCGCTATTTCTAATATGAACTGTGGCAAAGCGGGGGGACATGATGGATTAGTATTAGAACATATAAAATATGCTAGTAACACTATGATGGAGATAATTGTACATATGTTTAATAACATTATCAAAAGCGAAAGCTATCCAGAACATTTTAAATATGGCATTGTGATAACTTTATTCAAGGGAGGGAAACGAGATAGATTATTAATGGATAATTACAGGGATATAACGTTAACACCCGTTTTACAGAAATTTTTAGAAAAGGTTCTGTTCTTTAGAGTTATAAAGAAATGCAATGAAATTAATTTCCCTCACAAATTGCAACAGGGGCTTAGTGAAAAATGCGGTAGCATTACGGCTGCTTTCATTATGAAAGAATCTATCTCTTATTATACTGAGAAGAGATCGAAAGTATATGCAGCTTTTCTTGACAATCAAAAAGCGTTCAACACTGTATGGATCAAAGGGCTAATGTATTAAGTGTATAAATTGGGATTCAATGGCAAATTTTGGAGAATTTTATATAACTCGTTTATTGATGTTAAAGCATCAGTGCTTTTCGAAGGCAAGAGAAGTAAGACGTACACTATAGGACAGGGGGTAGGTCAAGGTCGAGTTCTCTCTGCTTGGTGTTTCCTTGTTATGATAGACGACCTTAAGCTTGCTAGTGAGTTAGACAATCGAGGTCTTGGACTTACGATAAAAGATATACACGTACCATGCGTGTTATTAGCGGACGACACATTAGTATTGTCAGCCTCTATAGGGCTACTTCAAAAAGAATTAGATATAGTATATACATACTCTACTCGTTGGCGTCTCAACTATAACTCCACAAAGAGCTCTCTAGTAATATTTCAATCCCCACGTCGACGTGTGATGTCAGAAGAATTTGGGCCTCTACAATGTAAAATTAGTTCCGATGTAATTCCAATGACATCACAGAAAACGTACGCTGGGATAACGTTTACCCATAACCTACAATCAAGCAGTAGTATTTTTGATGCTTGTGTGAAAGGAAGGACTAACCTAAGTTCACTTTTAAATATTGGTATTCACCCCAATGGGCTGAACCCTGTATTAAGTTTTAATATTATTATAAGTGTTGTATATTCAAGTATGTTGTATGGTTGTGAGCTTTGGAATTCATATACTAAGAAAGCTGTAGAAGAGTTGGAACGTACACAGAGATATGCATGTAGACGTTGTATTGGTCTTCCTAAAACTTCCTCCACAGCAGTGACTGCTCAGTGTTTAGGGTCATTTGATATGTGGAGCGAAGTGGAGAGAAGGAAACTATTATTTTGGAACAAATTGTGTTTAGGTGGTGCTAAGTTTTTATGGAAAACACTTTTTATTATTAGACTATGCCAATTTATGTATGGTAGTTCATCAACTACTCAAATAGGATTTCTGCCTGATATTTATGACATAATGGTTAAATTTAATATAGAGAAATTTATCAATGACTATGTTCTAAATATANTTTTTTAGAGAATACACCCTTTTATGGGCGTTGGATGCAAACCAATTTTTATCCTATTAAACAGTACGTAATATGCTATTGATGAGAGGAAAAATCATCAAAATGTAAGTGGTGGAACATTTTCAAATGTTGGGTTGAATTAGCCTATGGTTGAATTGCCGATTTTCGACTTTCTTTAGATAATTAACAAAAAAACGAGAGTATTTGCTCGGTATGTTGAGAATATGTACACAGATATGAAAAAAAGTGATTTTTTTATGTTTTATGAATAAACACGATGTTTTGGAAATATTTATCAAAAGAAATTTATACTATGTTGCGAATTACAATTTCGAGATAACCTTTTATTTACGAACTTATGTCTTTGATGCTGAAATTGACAACTTTATAAAAATACATTTTCACTGAAATTATGAAATCTGGGTCTCGGAAAGGTGTAAAATTATTCTTCGGAAAAGAAAAAAACAGTAGTTGAGCTAGATAAGATGTTATACGGGGGCAGGCTCCTATGGAGAATTAACATTACTGGAAACAGGCCCTTTGTCATATTGATTATAGTGTCTTCCTTGGAACTATGAGATGAATATCGGCCACACTTGATTAGATAGATTTTATGATAGGACAACACAACAACACAGCAAATGATGACGTCATGATACCTTTTGACGTCACCAAACAAGCTATTAAAATGATGCCAAAATTAACAATGCATTTTTACGTCAACGTTTGAGGAGTAGTAATGAAGGTGTTACAAAAATAGATATTTAAAACAGTTATGAGTAAAGCAAAACACTAACTGCACAAATGCTACACATATACAAACAATTTTGCTAGGCTCTGTGCTTTCCAAACAAATTAAAACCAGGTTTTTATTATCGATTAAAATTGATTCTTTTGACAGTGTCTTCTGTAGCTTGCTATTTAGAAACTACATGAATTCATCATTTGCACGTGAATGTCAACATTTATATATTATGATATATTATTCACAACCAGTTTGTACAATGCAAAACCAAGAGCAGTTAGCACATATCATTGCAACAATCTACCGAGACCTACAGTTCATGTTAGCTTTCAGTTTTCTTTTTTTAATGTAAATTATTTTCCTTCCACTATAATACTTCTAACACCACATATTTGTTTATTTCATTTTGACACGCATACACTTTGTAGGAACAAATAACAAAATCATTTGATTGTGTGGACGCACTCAATTATTAACAGGCATGCATCGATGACCAATGTAACCTCCTACATACTAGAGCAAATCTCGAAACATCATTACTATGTATAGAAAGTCATATTCGTTCACTCGTGTCAATATTAATTTGTTTGTGTTGATGGAGGCAAATTGGCGGACTAGGAGAACGGCAACCGTCCTGCGATCAGTACCTGGCGTTTGCCCCACTTATGTCTCGAACTCACAACGCTGGTAGAGGGCTAGTGATAATAGACGGTCAGACGCAATCATGACCCCGTATCCGTATTATTCGACCTTTCTCATATTGGGGCAGACCTAGCACGCATCGTGGAGACAGAGACCTAGACAAGGAAATACAGGGGACATTTCAAAAATGTATTTTATATGGAACGTAGCGTATAAGGTATGTCATAGTGTGTTCACATGCACATGACTACAGGTGAGAGAACAGGTAACATCATATGGAGACACATTTACAAGTCATTTCAGCAACGCCTAATACAGAATTATGTTGCTCCAGCAGGGGGACAGAAATCCTCAATACAGATGAAATGAAAAATAATTTTGAGATGTTTCCTGGATTTGCTAGTCTTTGTGTCCGTCTCCGGCTCTGTGCTAGGTCTGCCTCAAAATGAGAAATGTCTAATACGCATAAAGTGTTATACTATACAGGCAATGCCGTGGCCACTTAACAAGATCACAATTGTTTGGTTTGGATTGGGTTTATCTAATTTATCAACATAAATTTAATTCATCTGGTCTAAATTTAGGAAAACATAGCAATCAATAAAGCAGGACTTTTGGCATATAAATGAATCTATAAATATGAATGTACTGACAATATTTGAATATGAATAAAGGAATGGTTTGTGTAATTTAACATATCATTTGGAGGGATGTAACAGGGATGAACCCGGGGCACCCCAACTCTGGCTTCCCACCCAAAAGATGATGGGAGAATAAAATCTAATTTGAACATAAAAAAGTGCTATCACTGAACTATTATGGCGAAGGCACCCAGCACAGCATTCCGCTCAGTCACATTATACTGCCCTTTTGTAATCCTAGCTTTATCAAAAGTACTGTCATGCCGAAAAACAAAACAGTTTCTTATACTTTGTAACAGTTTTTGACAGTGGTACGGAGATCTTTAACGTCTGTATATATATTTTTAGCATAAACATGTGGTTACATAAACTTGCCTCGCACCCATCAACTCCTGTGTACGTTGCTCTCATCATAGCATAAATATGTCAATGGGGTTTCTCGCAGGTCACCAATCGTAAAATGCGACCTTAATGTACAAACCAACGAAGTAATGCAGTTTTTTGCCATTCATTATATTTTATTTGTTGTTGATTAGAAATGACATGATAATAGCCCCTTGGTAAATCCTCGACACATCTTCTAATCATGAAAACCTTGTTTTGTTCACAGCTTTTTCAACAATTGCGAAATAAGTTTTGTTACTTATACGAGTCAGTCATGTTCACCAAAATGGAACCGTATACCCATAAAACACCTGTCGAGCAGTTAACCCAATACCATTTCAGCCCGATGGCACATCTTTATTCCACCTCAGACTTTCACCGTACGGATGTCGCTACGTTTGTCTCGTAAAAAGAAAGATACATTATGTTAAAATTAAGTCACTACTATTATTTCATCTCACCACCCCCTTCGGTTCTGTCATCCATAACACAGTTAGTCGTGTGCTGCTACCCGCCTTTAGCAGTGTGTTATGTGTTAGCCGGACAGAAAAGATGACAAAACCACGTGTGACACTGTCGTCGGGATTAATGTTTATAGGCGTGATTTCGGTGGTAGCATTCATATTCCAATTCCTGAGTGTGTACAATCATAAAACGTGTAAGTAAAACATTTAAATGTTCATAATAGTTTAATTCAAACAACGTTTTATTTCAGATTTGTTTGTTTGTTTAGTATTGTATAACTTCCTATCAACAGCTATGGTCATTTAATGACGGTCTCCCCTGTGTGCAAGATGCATGGGTGTAGTGTATGCGTGTGTGTTTTGTCTCCTTGTGATAGCGCGGAACTGATGCCGACTTTATAGTGATTCCTCACTGCAACATACTGCCAAAGACACCCAACAGGACACAACACCCGGTCACATTATACTGACAACGGGAGAACTAGTCGTCCCACTCCTAAATTGCTGAGCGTTACGCAGGAGTAGAAACTACCATTTTTACAGACTCTGATATGTCCCGGCCAGGGGACAGAACCCAAAGCCTTCCTAACAGGGGCGAACGCTCAACTCAAGGCCAAAAGTGAGGCAGTGTCGAGGGAGACATTAGGAAGAAGAAAGTTGTTTAGAAAGAAGAGAAAACATAAGATCCCAAATTTAGTAGCCTCTTACGAGCATGCAATGGGGGCAGCAGGTACAATTCTTAAGCCCTACCTGCAGGGACCTTTTATTTCAGAATGATATAGATTTCAAACCTACATAAATACAAACATACACACAAAATATCAGAAAAACGTATAAATATACCTATGTAAATCTGTCTCGTTAATTTCATTGGTTTTGATGCTGCATGTAGATTCATTCGCAAACAAGTCAGTTAAGTTATTTCTTATTTAATATCTTTATTCGGTAAACTGTAATCTGGTTTGGTTTTTCTTTTTCAATTCCATTGCTTCTATAAGTGATACAGGTATATACATGTACTAACTAAATTGATTATTCTGTATGAAAACGACCAATATAATATCTAAAAGAAAGTAATTGTAACTTGAGTTTGGGAACCATAGCAACTAGGCACTGCAATAGTTGTTATGGCGCTAGTGCAAGTTTTACCTGTAAACGTTATTTAAAACACAGAATGTCTGTTTATCATGGACCATGCTAGAAAGAATCATTCAAGATACAATACTATTGTTATTCCGTCTTTGCATATTGCAGAGTTATCTTCTCTTGGGAGCAGGTATTGATTGTTACGTCACTTGTTTGTGAGAGTAACGTCATCAATTTTTGAGAAAACGACGTAATTTTCTCACACAAACAAATGACGTAACAATCAATACCTGCTCCCAATAGAAGATAACTCTGCAATACGCAAAGACGGAATACAACACATTGAAAGTACGTTTTTTTCAATATTTCAATCGAATGTCCTGTTGTTTGGGCTGACTAATGCTGGCTAACCGATGTAGAAATACACCTAAATTCACGAGGTGTAAATCTGGTGTTTTGAATAGTTATGAACAGCCAATAAAAGGTAGTCTAATGATTAAAAGCTGAATTTTTCTGAATTGCTGTGTATTATAGAACATTATAAATATACTAACGTTTTCCCATTTATATAAAAAAAAAAGTTTGATGTAAAACCTTAATACAATGGCCCTCGTTGCATGTGCCATCCTACAGCCAACATATTTCAAGATCACTTTTTCTCTTTTTCTAGCGAATACCTATTATGCTTTACTTAATTTATCACTAAACTTCTTTAGATCACCATTTTGTTAACAATTGGTGGGTATGCTGTGGTTTTACGTCGTCGATTTGCATGACCGGCGTCAATGACGCAGAAAACGTTTACCCTTAGGGTAAAATAAACCACTTGTTATCCTGCAGATTATATGCTTGATATGTAGGGTGCTGACATTTTACCATTTGAATGACTTTTCGAAGAAAAACAATTATGATAGGATAAAAAATGTCTATAGTTATATCATTTTTTTGTGTTTCACTATGATTATGCGTCTTAAGGATATTCCCCTGACCACATATGTCTAACCACACACGCAAGCACACATACGCTACACACATGTAGGCAAGTCCTTAATGACCTCAGCTGTTAATAGGACGTTAAACAAAATTAAACCAAAGCAAACCTATGTTTAACATAAGTTGCATTCCGGCCAGTGCTAAACTATAAAAAAACAAATCTTAAAGGCGCATGAAATATGTGGCAAAACTGATAAAGCTTATCTGGTTAAACTAGATAAAGCGACGAAGCGATGGTGACTTTTCAGAATAATAGAATGTGTGGGCTGTTTTTGCCTTGGTATATTTGTACGTTATGACATGTGAACGCTTTCACTAGCAAAAAAATCCAGGAATGTACCTATGACGTGTTGGAGAAAGGAGTGGTCTATTAAGCGGTGTTTGAATAAATAAGCAAATACAAATGGTGTCGAATTTCCGTTAATTCGAAAGTGCTATGGCAAGGTTTATATTTGGAAACTCGCAAACGGAAAATAATGTAAAAATTCACGCTAAAAGTTATGTTTTTGTCCTTTAATCACCTCCGGAGTGTTTAATGTGTTTCCATTGAGTTGACTTTCAAGTTTAAAATCGTAATCGCATCACTTAACCTGTCAATCTCTTGTGTTTCACTTGGTGCACTTGATGATACGAACCATCCATATAATACAGTATTATAATAACAAATCTGTCATTCCCATCTAAGAGTGTGACTATCAAAGTAAATATGTCCCCCTCCCATTGTAGGGGTGGATTATAATAACAAATCTGTCATTCCCATCTAAGAGCGTGACTATCAAAGTATATATGTCCCCCTTTCGTTGTAGGGGTGGATTATAATAACAAATCTGTCATTCCCATCTA